ATGGAGGATTTTGTCCTGGAGGCAACTGTGGGTTCACGCACTGAATTGAACAACTCAGACACATTGAAAAGAGAGTTACTTTTCCCTTGTGTGGATCGGATGGTTGGCGAGCTTGATCAAAGATTTTGCAGTGTAGATGCAGGGTTGCTAAAAGGCATCCAGGCATGCAGTCCTAAATCTGAGAACTTCTTGAGTGAACCACACTTGAATGAACTTGCAAAGCACTACAGACATGACCTGAAAAAAGAGGAGGTTCTGGTGAACAGAAACTTTCTTACCCGGAAAACAGAGGCTGGATGTCCACCCAAAAATATGTTGTCTGTGTACAACCTCCTTGATTCAGACATGTTTCCCTCTCTGAAGGCAACCATCCAAGTTGCCCTAACAGTGCCTGTCAGCAGCTGCTCGTGCGAAAGGTCCTTTAGTGCACTGCATTGGCTGCACTCCTGGCTGCGTCAAACAATGGGTCAGAAAAGATTCACAGTCTTGCAGTCATGTCTATTGAAAGTGGCCTAGGATGTTTTATCTGTCCAAAAAAGTAGGAAAACAATTTCTCAGTCTTTGTTTTCTGTTTGTGAAATTTTGTGCTCATTCACTACATTCGTTCATATCGTGTGCATCTCTTGGGGGCTAAGCCCCCCCTGTCCTTAAAACCTAGTGACGCCTCTGCATTTTACTTATGTTTGCTTTCGTTTTCACAGATTACATCATTTTCACTTAGCACAGAAACTGACGCTTATTTTGTTCTGTTGTGGCGTTTACATCAATAATGTTTTAAGATAAAACAGTAAAACAGATTCTTATCAGGTGAAAAAACAAAAAACAACAAATAATTTAACAAGAAGAAGAACAAGAAAACTAAACAATACCAAATGAGAACATGAGAAACAAAAACATTGGGTCATAGACGGAGTACCACGACACCTTTAGATACATAGAAGGTAACAGATACCCATGTAGTTTTGGTCAGTCGGTGTAATAATCAGGACCATGAACAGGATCAAATGTTGTAATTAATGAATGAAGTCAGAATTTAGATTTTCCTTCTTCTAGCTGTACTGACTGACCTTTGACCTCATGTGTTGATGACTCTTCACCTCTGTCTCCTCTCACAAGGAGAAGATGATCTGCAGGATCCTGCTGCTCATCATCCTCACCTCATGTGTCTCTGGTTAGTTTACAGCTTCACTTTATGAACTCCAAATTAAGCTCAACAACAGATTTGTTCCAGTTCTCAGTGTGTCTGCTCCTCTCTTTCCCTCTCTGTCTCCTCAACAGGATCATTTGTAGTCAATGTGACACAGACCTCCTATCAGGCAGAGGAGAACCACAACATGACACTGGAGTGGACGTTCACCACCAAACATGACAGATCCTCAGAAACACTTTTTATACTCTGTGAACTCTTTATCAGTGATAAATTGTCAGTCCTGTATCAGGTTCATGAAGGTGTTGAGGTGTCAGAGTCTCAGGATGAAAAGTTTTCAGGACGAGTCCAGAGTGACAAAGACGCCCTCAGAGAAGGACGAATCAGACTTCAACGGTCCAGACTCACGACTGATAACTCGGGTCTGTACCTGTGTGAGGTGAACACTGATTATGGCTTCGGTGTTGGAAGATGTCGACTAAACGTCACTGGTAAGATGATTTAGTGAAACTTGTAAAGTTAGTAAAAATGAGTGTCATATTTTAGTGGAACTTTAGGATAATAAACTTTGGTGAATACATTTTATGAACTTTCAGGACAAAATAATATTTTCTGTCCTTCCAGCAGCTGCTGATGAGCCCAAACATCAAACTCCAACAATGAACCCACAGACAGAGAGTCGCGGAAGCATCTGTTGTGGATTTTTGGGTGACATGTATACCTATATAACTATATGCACTATATATATCTATCTGCACTGAACATATATATTTTAACTCTCACGTAGAGTCTTAAGCACATGGTTTATTAAGGTGGTACAGTAACAGGGCAGTTAATGTAAGGGGAGAGTTCTCCTGAATAACTCACTCTCTTGCTCCGTTAACTAACTCCCCCACAGTACACACTCAACAACTTTCATGTAGAACAACAAAAACATGTTTATTTAAAAACAGTAACACTGCAACAGAAAAGTGAACACATCACAATAAAATCACCTTAAGTATCATTAAAATACTATATAATCATATATACACACATACACTATAAACCTACACTGAAATGTTTTTTATATATGAGAATCCCCATGTTAAGCGTGTAACCTATGTAGTTAGGTCAAGTATTATTCACATGTATATCATAAGATAATGCCACTTACTGTATGAGCACCTGTTGATGTGTACTGCTTGTTTTAAGATTTAATAATTAGGATTAATGTACGACGTTTGGCTGTGTTGTCACCTTTTGTGATGAGGCAAAGCAAAGGGTTAATCAAAGGTTGCCCATCTACAGATGGCCCTCAGCCAGAGTCCTGACTGGCCCCAGTCCTTGGCCGGTGCCTGACCCTGCACCTGCTGTTTATGGCTGGAGGACAAGTAGGAGGTTACCCAGCAGCAGGGGGAGGGGTTGTTGTCCCCTATAAAGAGGGGTCAGAGGAGACCAGGGCTCTTCTCTTTCTGTCTGTCTCTGTGTGGCTCTGCTGTCTGTGCTTACAGCTCTACACCCCGGGGCTATGAGTTGTCTTGCTGTTCTGTGTATGTACTTTCTTGCTGTTCATATGATTCAGTGTATTAAACTCTGTTCCAAGAATTCTACTTTGTTCCAGAGGATCTTTTTGAGTGAGT